AAAAAAATTAAAACATCAAAAATTAAATTAGAGTTCAAGAAGAAATGATTTTTCCTTGATAAATCTTATTCAATCCACAATTGAGGCATGCTAGAATGTATAATTTAACTATGATGATGCCTAAATTTTTCCACTCCTAAAATAAACTGGCATAAAAAAATATTAATTAGATCATATAGTTCAAGAAATTGTAGTTCAAATATTGAACTCTCTCCATTTGGATAAGAAATAAAAAATTATATTTCAAAATTACACACGAAATTGAAATAATAAAAAAGGTACACTATAACACAAGCTATGTATATAACAAGTTCAATTACTATACATTATAAAAAATCTAAAAAAAAAAATTCACTTAAGATTATAAACAATGCCAATAATAATAATAATAATAATAATAATAATAATAATAATAATAATAATAATAATAATAATAATAATAATAATAATAATAATAATAATAATAATTGCAAAGAATGAACACTTTGATTTTCATCAACACAATTTAGCTTGAATTTTGTGATTTATAGAAAGCTTGAATTGTAAAGATTAACATCTACTAACATCTGAAATGAAACAAGTTGACATGAAGCGAAAGGCCAAAAATTATGAATCAATCTTGATTTCTCATGGTTAAAGTCAAGAGTTCTAGACAAATTAATATTCAAGTTAAAAGTTTTTTGATTTTGTATATTTTTTTTAGCCAGTCCACCAATTGTAAAAAATAAAAATTATATAAAAATCGATTTACCTACAAATCTAGTCTGATTCTTAATTTATTATTATTATTTTAATTAGCCAACTGTGGATTCTGATTCAATTTCAATTCAAGAGACTCCATTAAGCCCCTGTTTGACCCCCATTACGTGGAAAAATTAATGGGAGGAATAATTTTTTTTGAAAAATGAGTTGTTGAAAAAGAATGAAAAGTTTTTGATTTACGTATAATATTAATTTATGAAAGATTGTGTGATTGAAAATAGAAGAGAGAAAAATAAAATGTAATACAATTTAATGTAATGGGGCTCAAACAGGACTAAGATACCCACACCTATTTATATCCAACATCTCAAAATTTACTTGTAAACGTCAGTCAAAGTAGTCACCTTAGGAGATGGCGTTTCGACATCCTTACAAATACGCTTTTGGAAAGAACGAAAGTCTGGCTCTTTGTCATAAAGGTATCCTACAGCATCAGTAATATCAGAACGGAGCAACACCTGCAAAATTCCAGAGTTGAAATTTAGTTGCAGAATTTCATTACTTCCAAGCCAAAATTATCCCAAACTGGCATAAGGAATAATGAAAATGACAAAGATATCTAGAACTCAGAACTGAGAAGAATCCAATAAAAATGTAGAAATGCTGATTAGTTTGTTCTCCAACTGAAAGAAACCATATACATAAGCACAAATAAGCAAAACAAATCAAAAGTCGAGCACTTGTAACACAAAGATCATTATAGGTAGCCGACCAGACCAGGAATAGAAGCAATCGAACTTTCAGCTACTGGTTGGTGCCAAAATTACAAAGATATGACGAAACCTGACCTGTCGACAAGTTTCGCATTTCAAACTACATGATCTTTCAGAGTCTTGTTCAACACGCTGAATAGAATAGTTCCAAAGAAACCAAAAAAGTTAGTTTATAATGAAAGTAGTAACTTTTTCAGGATAGCAGTCATTTACTCACTCTTCCCTGCGGGGATTATGTGATACAACCTATCATTGCATCATTTTCAAACTGGATTTCACAAGAATTAAAGAGCAAAGCCTAGAAACATGTGTCATACTTACCTCCTGCATTGGATTACAAATATTCTCCGCAATTTTAATAATTTGATTTTTCCAGATCTGCTTCAACACAATAAGTTGCAACAATACAAACATAAATACTCATGAATTCATCAACTGATCACATATAAAATAAAATAAAATAAAATAAATTCTCTCCAACATTAGGCCATCTTCAACCCTAAACCCATTCCACCATATTTCTCAATTTTTGGTACCAAAAATTTGGTGCATACACCCTCCAACCCAACATCATAATTTGCATTAAATGTTGCAAATGAATAGTGTTACACCAAATATGGTTGCATGAACCTTTTCTTATTGAACAATTTTTTGTTTCTTTTTTTGTTATACAACAAATTTTAATTCTTAATTATTATTATTATTATTATTATTATTATTATTATTATTATTATTATTATTATTATTATTATTATTATGTGCATTTGTAATTAATTTTAATCATGTAATGACTAATAATTAAGGAGCCAAAATAGACGTACTCAATTAAAGACGAAAGCCTAGAAACATTTACCTCTTGCTTTGGATCACAAACATTCTCCGCAATTTCATTAAATAAATTTTTCCAAGTCTGCATCTGTTTCAACACAATAAGATGCAACAATACAAATATAAACTAGTCAATCTCCGATCCCATAAATACACATAAAACAAATAATTTTTCTACAACACTTGAGTTAACAGAAACATAAATGCATAGCAAAACACAGATGAAATCACCACAGCCATTACTTAAAGGCATGAAAATATATACTAGAAAAATTAAAATAGGACAACAGATCAAATAAGCCAATGAAAACGACAAATACAAAATTAATAAGAATAAGTCGTCCAGTTCTTGAAACAACGTATTGAATAATTTAAGAAGAAACCCAGATAATAAAATTACTTCCTTTAACAATTATAAGTGGGAACCCAGAAACTAAAATTACGTTTCTCGACAAGATCTCAGGTCGTTTTATGGGTGGAAGATTCGCACTCTGTGATAGTGGTTTCATGGGTGGTCCAGGCTTAAATGGAAGATTCGCACACTGTAATAGTGGTTTCATGGGTGGTACAGGCTTTGGTGGAAGATAAAAACACTGTGATAGTGGCATATATGGTGATATTATCACTGTAACACACAGTGCTAACAATAAAGAAGCTCTATGAAATTTCGCCATTACTCTCTCACTTTCTCACACACACACACACTCAATAACTTTTCCGCTGAAGGACGTCAAACACTGAAGTTTGGTTTTCTCGGATTTTCTTTTACGTGTCTGGTGGAGCTTATATATCAGATTTTTATATATTTGAGTGGACTTTTAAATTAAAAAAATGCAAAACGTTGAGTATGAAAGTTCTTCAGAGTTGTAGACGCAGACCGACTTTTACCCTAGCACACATTTAAGTTTGCAAATTCTACGGCTGAGCTGTTGCCTGTGTGTTCAGCGACTTGACTATCCATAATTAACGCAGATAAAAGCGTGTAAGAACAATAACACGTGATTTGAGTCACTTCTATTTATTGTATGATATTTTAATAGTACTTATGGTCCTAAGTATTATTATTGTTGACCCCCAAAAAATATGTCAACAGAATCCCGACTTAATTCCCGCGGACACCACCTACGCACTGAACACCTATTAGAAAGCAAGGCGGTCAGTCAAGAAAAAAGAATCGTGAATTATAATATATATTGTTGACCTCGAAAAATATAACTCCAGATAGCCAATAGATCCCCAACCCACTTGCACACACGTAAGCTCCTTTTCTATATACTTGGACAAACCGTTAGTCACTTGTGACCTTCTTCGATGGTTGGGAAGGCGGCCGTGAGCACTTCGATGGTCAAGTCAGTAGACGGGAAGAAATTATAAGACGAGCTAAAATCGCAAGCCACAAGAATGTATATGTAAATGAGGGAAATACTTGAAGGTAGATAGCAAACTCAGAAATTAGGAGTCAAAGTTGCATTACCCTTTGCTCGTTTTGGTTTGAGAGTCCTTGAAGAAATAAAAAATGGAGTTTGGACAGAGACAAGACGCCCAAGTGCTTTGCCCATCGGAAGCCTTTGGAGGAATTTTAGCCCAAGATGTAGTTTCCAAGGGCTATGGACGCAGTGCTCAAGCGTTGCTTGCTCCGCTCGCTTTCCTCGAGCTGGGCTCTCAAGCAGCATTGATATCCATCTGTTGATCATTTTCATGATTTTGATGTGATTGTTGATTCCTATTTCATTTAAAGCACTGTATTGAGGTCCTATATATATTGCATGACTGACATACTCTTCATAACATTAGAAACACATTAGATTTGTTTGAGAATATATCAAATCTTGTAATAACAATCATTGATCTTGTGAATTCTCCTCTTCCTCCTGTGATTTTTTCCATTTTGGATTTCCACGTAAAATCTTCATATTCTTGTTTGTGAGTGATTTATTTCATCTTGTAATTATCTTGCTACATTAATAATAGAATCGTTTCCCAAGAATGTGAATGGTCCTGGTATGTTCAGTGTAAAATAAATTTAGATGTTTTTTCTTTTTCCATACTTTTTCATCAATTGACCAAATAAAAGTTGGCCAACACCAATTAGGCACGTTACTAATTCTTAATGCTCGCTGATGCTGAAAATTGAACGCTGAGGCAGTTGGCTATGAAATGTTAGCACATGATGACATTTTATTATTTGTTTTCAATACGATGCTGCTGCATTAAGAGAATCTTACCTAACACTTACAAGTGGTATTTACAATTTTGCAGACAATAATTACTTTTGATTATACAGTTTGCATATTTTACAATTTGAGTGTTTGTTCAGGCTTTTATGGAATTGGATAGATTAATTTGTTGGTAAATCAAGGTATCCATTTTTTATTTTCCATAAACAGTTGAAAAAATGTCTGAGAAAAGAGCTGACTGTATCACTGTTAACATTGATAATATGCTTATTAGCTCATCTTCTACGCCTTCAAAGCCCACAACATTTAGAGTTGGTCATCATTTAAGCAGCATAACCCAGAGGCTTACGATCCAAAAATAATAGTCATCGGCCCATTTCACCGCAATAAACCTCACTTGCAGAACATGGAGCAACACAAACTCAAGTATCTAAGGCTACTTCTTCAAAGAGGACAAGAGTCGAGTGTAGAAAGGTATGTTACCACAATAATGCAATTCAAAGAAATGGCACTGAAATGTTATGCAGAAGACATCGAGCTTGATGAAGATAAATTCGTGCAAATGTTGATTCTTGACGGTTCTTTTATCAAATTTCTCTGTATGTTTCAAAACAAAGAATGCAAGGATGAAGATGACCCCATTTTCCAGTATGGATATATACAAAGTCAATTGTTTCACGATCGAATGCTATTTGAGAATCAGATTCCATAAATACATACAAAAGCGAGTTTCATATATCAAAATAGATATTACATATATCAAATAGATGGAAACGCCATTTTATTGTTTAAAATGGGTAAGTGCCATTTAAATTAGTTTAAAAGTTTATAATATTGTTAAACAGTGTATATGTGTGTGTGTGTATATATATATAAAATTATAGATTTTAATTTAAGTCAAAGTTAAAAATTAATTTTAACCACATATTTTATGAATCATACAACTTTTTAACTGTACATTTCATCAATTTCTATTAAAATCTGTTTAAAATTTGATTTTAATTCCTATCAAGCAGTACATAGTACAGGCTTATTAACTAAAAAGTATTGAGTATTGGCCTTTTAAACAAAAATCATAGTTGCGCACACACTCTTTAGTCATAACTACTCCCACCACAATAAAACAAAGAACCACTAATTTCTGAACCTTTATATAAAAAATTTAAGTTTTATATTTATGTGTAAAAAGAAGCTGTGTACAGCTGTATCTACCTATTGTTAATTTAATTCTTAGAAGTCGTGGCTGATATTTTTGCATTTTCTATGTACCAAATAATAAGGATGATCTATTTTGTTTTTTATTTTCTTTTTTTGAGATAAATAATCTTAAATATATTTATTTTTTAATAAACTTGTTCTCACTAGCAATCATTTTTTATGGTGTTTTAAAGTATTAAAAATATTTACTATTTTGAGCGTAAGAAAAATAAGAAATTTTGAAAATGTGTAAAAAGTTAAATATTTATTATTTGAATTTTTTAATATTATCAATTGCCGACCTCAAGTCATGCCGACTTTAAATATGTGATCAAGTCTTTGATATTTGATTTTAAACATTATTTAAGACAATATGGACAATTGATTTTAAATAATATATTTGCTTGGCACGTGACCCATGTATATGAATGAAAATTGTAAATATGAGTTGGGGTTTGACATTTTGTTTATGCTTGTCTCGTCACTTGTCTTCTCCGAGCGAGGGATTCAAGGGATTTTGCTTTTATTTTTTTTGTTTTTTTTGTCTTTGTCTTTTTTATTTTTATTTTTATTTTTGGATTTTTATTTTTTATTTTTTAATTTTCTCCTGCTTAAAGCAAGACCAATTTACTTATAACATCACCATAAACGATCTAATTTCATTGATTTTTCACTAATTTTGTTGGTTTTACAAAGGTATACTTTAAGGCCTCTTATTTTATGGGTCAACAAAAATTATGAACTTCGACACCACGAGTTTCAATGGTGGCAAGACCACGAGGATATTACAATTCATTCAAATAAAGATATGTAGTATCACTAGTGTTTAATATAGGTCCACGTGACAACATAATGAATTGAATGATAGATTGAATAAAATGAGTCTTCTATCCGTATGTTTTATTAGACAAATTTTGACATGAGGAAAAATTTAATCAACTAATTATCGGAGCTGATTACTCATTGATTTTAAAAATACCGCATAATATAAGATATACGTTTATAATAAAATGCAACACGCTCATGCATTGGTTTTTACCCAAATTTGGTAAATAAAAGGAGTCACAGCGAAAGGGAAAATGAATTTTAGTTTGGCAATAAAAATGAAATATTTCAATAAGGTGAAAGAATTTCTAATGCAATAGGGAAAAAGAAATTTGCCATAAGAAGGGTCTTTCCTCTTTACATCGAGAATAATTGTGTTTGGCACCAATGTGGCATGAATTCGTACCGAAAATTACGTATCCAAAATTAAAAGAATTTAAAAAGAGAAAATTGTTGAAGAGAAACTAGGCAAAAAGAAAATAACGGTACGAACTTGTATGTTTTTGTTTTCTTGGGGAGAATTGTGCGAGTGGAAAAATATAATATTGTGAAGTTTTCTCAACTATTATGGAATTTTTCTTATATGATTGTTGACAAGTCAAACTACATTTAATTATGTTTTCTCTTTAGACTCAATTTCTCATTTTATTTCCGTTGTGGTATGAGTTGAATTTTTTCCCAACAATATTGATGGTGCCGATATGTTTAGTATAAAATTAATTTAAATGTTTCTTCTTCCCCATGCCTTGTAGTCAATTGACCAAATAAAGATTGACAAAACCAATAAAAAGTCATTATTAATTCGATACCTGCTGAAATTATTAAATGTTAGCACATGAAGTTAGGTTTCTCGGAGCTCATCTATCAGATTTTTATATATTTGAGTGGATTTTTTAAATAAAAAAATGCAGAACGTTGAATATGGAAGTTCTGGATCGGGTTGCAGACGCAGGACTCACTCATATCCTTGCACACATTTTGAATTTTCATTTTTGTTTGCAAACTCTACGGCTGAGCTTGTTGGAAAAATGGTTGAAATGGGTCAACTTTGAGCCTAAATTTCAGTAGGACCCACCTTTTAATTAATACGGGACCTAGCATATTCACGTTCTATTCCGCGAGATAATTAACGTGATATATTTATTTGTCGAAAACCATTTAAAATTGAATGAAATATTAAGTATTAAAGTAACCTACATAAACTAAGTAGCATGGAAGAATTTGATTTTCCAAACACCTATCCCACATAGGAAAGTTAGGAAACTTTGGTGTGGTTTATAAGGTGGAAGTTTGGAATTGGGTTTGGGCCCCAAGGGGTACCAATAGTCTTTAGAAGGGAGAAGACCTATATCCTATTGGGTTCGGTCATAAACTCACATGAGTTTGAGTCCGTGTCCGGTTCGGTGCGGGTGGATCTTTACACTATATTAACTTTTTGGACAAAATTTATTTAAAATTTCGAGCCAAATTGTAAATAATCAAATTCTTGGGTACATTATGAAATTTAAATTTTGGCTTCTTCCGGGTGTTTTATTTTCTTTTAACAGTCGTCTGTTTATCGACCAAATAGTGAACTATTAGCCGACTGTTAACCGACTTAACAGACGCGACTTTTAAAACAGCATGTCTGTTCGGATTTTTTAGGTTTGTATGAAAGGTAATGACTGTTCGAATGACCACAAACAAGTCTATAAATAGCCTACCTCTCTACCAGAAAATTTACACCATTTTCATTGCAAACT